AGCGAGGTCCTGGCGCAAGGGGCGCCAAAGAACCTCTGCGATCTGTGGGGCATGTTAAAGGGCATATATGTTGAAATGGAGGCGCATCCAGTACAACCTCTCCAAACCGATTTCTGTGAGTCCTTCAAACTCTGGAACCCAGGCTTTCCAGACTCAAACCCCTGGCGCAACTCCCCTTGCCGAAGACAACCCGTAGACCTCGTTTTCGGCTTGGTACCCTCTGGCTTGGAGGGCGACTTGAAAACAGGGCGACTAATCTCTGAAGATCCTGCAATTGACAAACAGGCCAAGCAAAGAAAGGCAACAAAAAGGATGCAAAGAAAGGCAACAAAAAGGATGCAAAGAAAGGCAACAAAAAGGATGCAAAGAAAGGCAACAAAAAGGATGCAAAGAAAGGCAACAAAAAGGATGCAAAGAAAGGCAACAAAAAGGATGCAAAGAAAGGCAACAAAAAGGATGCAAAGAAAGGCAACAAAAAGGATGCAAAGAAAGGCAACAAAAAGGATGCAAAGAAAGGCAACAAAAAGGATGCAAAGAAAGGCAACAAAAAGGATGCAAAGAAAGGCAACAAAAAGAATGCAAAGAAAGGCAACAAAAAGGATGCAAAGAAAGACAACAAAAAGGATGCAAAGAAAGGCAACAAAAAGGAAGCAAAGAAAGGCAACAAAAAGGATGCAAAGAAAAACAACAAAAAGAATGCAAAGAAAGGCAACAAAAAGGATGCAAAGAAAGGCAACAAAAAGGATGCAAAGAAAGGCAACAAAAAGGATGCAAAGAAAGGCAACAAAAAGGATGCAAAGAAAGGCAACAAAAAGAATGCAAAGAAAGGCAACAAAAAGGATGCAAAGAAAGACAACAAAAGGGATGCAAAGAAAGGCAACAAAAAGGATGCAAAGAAAGGCAACAAAAAGGATGCAAAGAAAGGCAACAAAAAAAAGCAAAGAAAGGCAACAAAAAGGATGCAAAGAAAAACAACAAAAAGGAAGCAAAGAAAGGCAACAAACAGGATGCAAAGAAAGGCAACAAAAAGGATGCAAAGAAAGGCAACAAAAAGGATGCAAAGAAAGGCAACAAAAAGGATGCAAAGAAAGGCAACAAAAAGGATGCAAAGAAAGGCAACAAAAAGGATGCAAAGAAAGGCAACAAAAAGGATGCAAAGAAAGGCAACAAAAAGGATGCAAAGAAAGGCAACAAAAAGGATGCAAAGAAAGGCAACAAAAAGGATGCAAAGAAAGGCAACAAAAAGGATGCAAAGAAAGGCAACAAAAAGGATGCAAAGAAAGCAACAAAAAGGATGCAAAGAAAGGCAACAAAAAGGATGCAAAGAAAGGCAACAAAAAGGATGCAAACAAAGGCAACAAAAAGGATGCAAAGAAAGGCAACAAAAAGGATGCAAAGAAAGACAACAAAAGGGATGCAAAGAAAGGCAACAAAAAGGATGCAAAAGAAAGGCAACAAAAAGGAAGCAAAAGAAAGGCAACAAAAAGGATGCAAAGAAAGGCAACAAAAAGAAAGCAAAGAAAGACAACAAAAAGGATGCAAAGACAGGCAACAAAAAGGATGCAAAGAAAGGCAACAAAAAGGATGCAAAGAAAGGCAACAAAAAGGATGCAAAGAAAGGCAACAAAAAGGATGCAAAGAAAGGCAACAAAAAGGATGCAAAGAATGGCAACAAAAAGGATGCAAACAAAGGCAACAAAAAGGATGCAAACAAAGGCAACAAAAAGGATGCAAAGAAAGGCAACAAAAAGGATGCAAAGAAAGACAACAAAAGGGATGCAAAGAAAGGCAACAAAAAGGATGCAAAAGAAAGGCAACAAAAAGGAAGCAAAAGAAAGGCAACAAAAAGGATGCAAAGAAAGGCAACAAAAAGAAAGCAAAGAAAGACAACAAAAAGGATGCAAAGACAGGCAACAAAAAGGATGCAAAGAAAGGCAACAAAAAGGATGCAAAGAAAGGCAACAAAAAGGATGCAAAGAAAGGCAACAAAAAGGATGCAAAGAAAGGCAACAAAAAGGATGCAAAGAAAGGCAACAAAAAGGATGCAAAGAAAGGCAACAAAAAGGATGCAAAGCAAAGAAACAAAAAAGGATGCAAAGAAAGGCAACAAAAAGGATGCAAAGAAAGGCAACAAAAAGGATGCAAAGAAAGGCAACAAAAAGGATGCAAAGAAAGGCAACAAAAGGATGCAAAGAAAGGCAACAAAAAGGATGCAAAGAAAGGCAACAAAAAGGATGCAAAGAAAGGCAACAAAAAGAATGCAAAGAAAGGCAACAAAAAGGAAGCAAAGAAAGGCAACAAAAAGGAAGCAATGAAAGGCAACAAAACGGAAGCAAAGAAAGGCAACAAAAAGGAAGCAAACAAAGGCAACAAAACGGAAGCAAAGAAAGGCAACAAAAAGGATGCAAAGAAAGGCAACAAAAAGGATGCAAAGAAAGGCAACAAAAAGGATGCAAAGAAAGGCAACAAAAAGGATGCAAAGAAAGGCAACAAAAAGGATGCAAAGAAAGGCAACAAAAAGGATGCAAAGAAAAACAACAAAAAGGAAGCAAAGAAAGACAACAAAAAGGATGCAAACAAAGGCAACAAAAAGGATGCAAAGAAATGCAACAAAAAGGATGCAAAGAAAGGCAACAAAAAGGATGCAAAGAAAGGCAACAAAAAGAATGCAAAGAAAGGCAACAAAAAGGATGCAAAGAAAGACAACAAAAAGGAAGCAAAGAAAGACAACAAAACGGAAGCAAAGAAAGGCAACAAAAAGGGTGCAAAGAAAGGCAACAAAAAGGATGCAAAGAAAGGCAACAAACAGGATGCAAAGAAAGGCAACAAAAAGGATGCAAAGAAAGGCAACAAAAAGGAAGCAAAGAAAGACAACAAAACGGAAGCAAAAAAAGGCAACAAAAAGGAAGCAAAGAAAGGCAACAAAAAGGATGCAAAGAAAGGCAACAAAAAGGATGCAAAGAAAGGCAACAAAAAGGAAGCAAAGAAAGGCAACAAAAAGGATGCAAAGAAAGGCAACAAAAAGGATGCAAAGAAAGGCAACAAAAAGGATGCAAACAAAGGCAACAAAAAGGATGCAAAGAAAGGCAACAAAAAGGAAGCAATGAAAGGCAACAAAACGGAAGCAAAGAAAGGCAACAAAAAGGAAGCAAACAAAGGCAACAAAACGGAAGCAAAGAAAGGCAACAAAAAGGATGCAAAGAAAGGCAACAAAAAGGATGCAAAGAAAACAAAAAGGATGCAAAGAAAGGCAACAAAAAGGATGCAAAAGGAAAGAAAGGCAACAAAAAGGATGCAAAGAAAGGCAACAAAAAGGATGCAAAGAAGGATGCAAAGAAAAACAACAAAAAGGAAGCAAAGAAAGACAACAAAAGGATGCAAAGAAAGGCAACAAAAAGGATGCAAAGAAAGGCAACAAAAAGGATGCAAAGAAAGGCAACAAAAAGGATGCAAAGAAAGGCAACAAAAAGGATGCAAAGAAAGGCAACAAAAAGGATGCAAAGAAAGACAACAAAAAGGAAGCAAAGAAAGAAAACAAAAAGGATGCAAAGCAAGACGACAAAACGGATGCAAAGAAAGACAACAAAAAGGAAGCAAAGAAAGACAACAAAAAGGATGCAAAGAAAGGCAACAAAAAGGATGCAAAGAAAGACAGCAAAAAGGATGCAAAGAAAGACAACAAAAAGGAAGCAAAGAAAGACAACAAAAAGGATGCAAAGAAAGACAACAAAAAGGAAGCAAAGAAAGACAACAACAATGAAGCAGAGAAAGACAACAAAAAGGATGCAAAGAAAGACAACAAAAAGGATGCAAAGAAAGACAACAACAATGAAGCAGAGAAAGACAACAAAAAGGATGCAAAGAAAGGCAACAAAACGGAAGCAAAGAAAGGCAACAAAAAGGATGCAAAGAAAGGCAACAAAAAGGAAGCAAAGAAAGACAACAAAAAGGATGCAAAGAAAGACAACAAAAAGGAAGCAAAGAAAGACAACAACAATGAAGCAGAGAAAGACAACAAAAAGGATGCAAAGAAAGGCAACAAAACGAAAGCAAAGAAAGGCAACAAAAAGGATGCAAAGAAAGGCAACAAAAAGGAAGCAAAGAAAGACAACAAAACGGAAGCAAAAAAAGGCAACAAAAAGGAAGCAAAGAAAGGCAACAAAAAGGATGCAAAGAAAGGCAACAAAAAGGATGCAAAGAAAGGCAACAAAAAGGAAGCAAAGAAATACAACAAAAAGGAAGCAAAGAAAGGCAACAAAAAGGATGCAAAGAAAGGCAACAAAAAGGATGCAAAAGAAAGGCAACAAAAAGGATGCAAAGAAAGGCAACAAAAAGGATGCAAAGAAAGGCAACAAAAAGGATGCAAAGAAAGCAACAAAAAGGATGGGAAAGAAACAAAAAGGATGCAACAAAAAGGATGCGCAACAAAAAGGATGCAAAGAAAGGCAACAAAAAGGATGCAAAGAAAGGCAACAAAAAGGATGCAAAGAAAGGCAACAAAAAGGATGCAAAGAAAGGCAACAAAAAGGATGCAAAGAAAGGCAACAAAAAGGATGCAAAAAGGCAACAAAAAGGATGCAAAGAAAGGCAACAAAAAGATGCAAAGAAAGGCAACAAAAAGGATGCAAAGAAAGGCAACAAAAAGGATGCAAAGAAAGGCAACAAAAGGATGCAAAGAAAGGCAACAAAAAGGATGCAAAGAAAGGCAACAAAAAGGATGCAAAGAATGGCAACAAAAGGATGCAAAGACAGGCAACAAAAAGGATGCAAAGAAAGGCAACAAAAAGGATGCAAAGAAAGGCAACAAAAAGGATGCAAAGAAAGGCAACAAAAAGGATGCAAAGAAAGGCAACAAAAAGGAAGCAAAGAAAGGCAACAAAAAGGAAGCAAAGAAAGACAACAAAAAGGATGCAAAGAAAGGCAACAAAAAGGATGCAAAGAAAGGCAACAGAAAGGATGCAAAGAAAGGCAACAAAAAGGATGCAAACAAAGGCAACAAAAAGAAAGCAAACAACGACAACAAAACGGATGCAAAGAAAGGCAACAAAAAGGATGCAAAGAAAGGCAACAAAAACAAAGCAAAGAAAGACAACAAAAAGGCAGCAAAGAAAGACAACGAAAAGGCAGCAAAGAAACACAACGAAAAGGATGCAAAGACAACAAAAAGGAAGACAACAAAAAGGATGCAAAGAAAGACAACAAAAAGGATGCAAAGAAAGACGACAAAAAGGATGCAAAGAAAGACAACAACAATGAAGCAGAGAAGACAACAAAAAGGAAGCAAAGAAAGACAACAAAAAGGATGCAAGGAAAGACAACAAAAAGGATGCAAAGAAAGACAACAAAAAGGAAGCAAGAAAGACAACGAAAAGGATGCAAAGAAACACAACAAAAAGGAACACAACAAAAAAGAAGCAAAGAAAGACAACAAAAAGGCAGCAAAGAAAGACAACAAAAAGGATGCAAAGAAAGACAACAAAAAGGAAGCAAAGAAAGACAACAAAAAGGATGCAAAGAAAGACAACAAAACGGAAGCAAAGAAAGGCAACAGAAAGGATGCAAAGAAAGACAACGAAAAGGATGCAAAGAAAGACAACAAAAAGGAAGAAAAGAAACACAACAAAAAGGATGCAAAGAAAAACAACAAAAAAGAAGCAAAGAAAGACAACAAAACGGAAGCAAAGAAAGGCAACAGAAAGGATGCAAAGAAAGACGACAAAAAGGAAGCAAAGAAAGACAACAAAAAGGATGCAAAGAAAGACGCAAAGAAAGACAACAAAAAGGAAGCAAGAAAGACAACGAAAAGGATGCAAAGAAAGACAACAAAAAGGAAGCAAAGAAAGACAACAAAAAGGATGCAAAGAAAGACAACGAAAAGGATGCAAAGAAAGACAACAAAAAAAAAAAAGAAAGACAACAAAAAGGATGCAAAGAAAAACAACAAAAAAGAAGCAAAGAAAGACAACAAAACGGAAGCAAAGAAAGGCAACAGAAAGGATGCAAAGAAAGACGACAAAAAGGAAGCAAAGAAAGACAACAAAAAGGAAGCAAAGAAAGACAACAAAAAGGCAGCAAAGAAAGACAACGAAAAGGCAGCAAAGAAAGACAACGAAAAGGATGCAAAGAAAGACAACAAAAAGGAAGACAACAAAAAGGATGCAAAGAATGACACCAAAAAGGATGCAAAGACAACAAAAAGGAAGACAACAAAAAGGATGCAAAGAAAGACGACAAAAAGGAAGAAAAGAAAGACAACAACAAGGAAGCAAAGAAAGACAACAAAAAGGATGCAAGGAAAGACAACAAAAAGGATGCAAAGAAAGACAACAAAAAGGAAGCAAGAAAGACAACGAAAAGGATGCAAAGAAACACAACAAAAAGGAAGACAACAAAAAAGAAGCAAAGAAAGACAACAAAAAGGAAGCAAAGAAACACAACAAAAAGGATGCAAAGAAAGACAACAAAAAGGAAGCAAAGAAAGAAAACAAAAAGGATGCAAAGCAAGACGACAAAACGGATGCAAAGAAAGACAACAAAAAGGAAGCAAAGAACGACAACAAAAAGGATGCAAAGAAAGGCAACAAAAAGGATGCAAAGAAAGACAGCAAAAAGGATGCAAAGAAAGACAACAAAAAGGAAGCAAAGAAAGACAACAAAAAGGATGCAAAGAAAGACAACAAAAAGGAAGCAAAGAAAGACAACAACAATGAAGCAGAGAAAGACAACAAAAAGGATGCAAAGAAAGACAACAAAAAGGATGCAAAGAAAGACAACAACAATGAAGAAAAGAAAGACAACAAAAAGGAAGCAAAGAAAGACAACAACAAGGAAGCAAAGAAAGACAACAAAAAGGAAGCAAAGAAAGACAACAAAAAGGAAGCAAAGAAAGACAACAAAAAGGAAGCAAAGAAAGACGCAAAGAAAGACAACAAAAAGGAAGCAAGAAAGACAACGAAAAGGATGCAAAGAAAGAAAACAACAAGGAAGCAAAGAAAGACAACAAAAAGGATGCAAAGAAAGACAACGAAAAGGATGCAAAGAAAGACAACAAAAAGGAAGCAAAGAAAGACAACAAAAAGGATGCAAAGAAAAACAACAAAAAAGAAGCAAAGAAAGACAACAAAAAAGAAGCAAAGAAAGGCAACAAAAAGGACTCAAAGAAAGACGACAAAAAGGAAGCAAAGAAAGACAACAAAAAGAAAGCAAAGAAAGACAGCAAAAAGGCAGCAAAGAAAGACAACGAAAAGGCAGCAAAGAAAGACAACGAAAAGGATGCAAAGACAACAAAAAGGAAGACAACAAAAAGGATGCAAAGAAAGACAACAAAAAGGATGCAAAGAAAGACGACAAAAAGGATGCAAAGAAAGACAACAACAATGAAGCAGAGAAGACAACAAAAAGGAAGCAAAGAAAGACAACAAAAAGGATGCAAGGAAAGACAACAAAAAGGATGCAAAGAAAGACAACAAAAAGGAAGCAAGAAAGACAACGAAAAGGATGCAAAGAAACACAACAAAAAGGAACACAACAAAAAAGAAGCAAAGAAAGACAACAAAAAGGCAGCAAAGAAAGACAACAAAAAGGATGCAAAGAAAGACAACAAAAAGGAAGCAAAGAAAGACAACAAAAAGGATGCAAAGAAAGACAACAAAAAGGCAGCAAAGAAAGACAACGAAAAGGATGCAAAGAAAGACAACAAAAAGGAAGACAACAAAAAGGATGCAAAGAATGACACCAAAAAGGATGCAAAGAAAAACAACAAAAAGGATGCAAAGAAAGACGACAAAAAGGAAGAAAAGAAAGACAACAACAATGAAGCAGAGAAGACAACAAAAAGGAAGCAAAGAAAGACAACAAAAAGGATGCAAGGAAAGACAACAAAAAGGATGCAAAGAAAGACAACAAAAAGGAAGCAAGAAAGACAACGAAAAGGATGCAAAGAAACACAACAAAAAGGAACACAACAAAAAAGAAGCAAAGAAAGACAACAAAAAGGAAGCAAAGAAAGACAACAAAAAGGATGCAAAGAAAGACAACAAAAAGGAAGCAAAGAAAGACAACAAAAAGGATGCAAAGAAAGACAACAAAAAGGCAGCAAAGAAAGACAACAAAAAGGAAGCAAAGAAAGACAACAAAAAGGAAGACAACAAAAAGGAAGCAAAGAATGACACCAAAAAGGATGCAAAGAAAGACAACAAAAAGGATGCAAAGAAAGACGACAAAAAGGATGCAAAGAAAGACAACAACAATGAAGCAGAGAAGACAACAAAAAGGATGCAAGGAAAGACAACAAAAAGGAAGCAAAGAAAGACAACAAAAAGGAAGCAAAGAAAGACAACAAAAAGGAAGCAAAGAAAACAACAAAAAGGAAGACAACAAAAAGGAAGCAAAGAATGACACCAAAAAGGATGCAAAGAAAGACAACAAAAAGGATGCAAAGAAAGACGACAAAAAGGATGCAAAGAAAGACAACAAAAATGAAGCAGAGAAGACAACAAAAAGGATGCAAAGAAAGACAACAAAAAGGATGCAAAGAAAGACAACAAAAGAAAGATAACAAAAAGGACGCCAAGAAAAACAATAAAAAGGAAGACAACAAAAAGGAAGCAAAGAATGACACCAAAAAGGATGCAAAGAAAGACAACAAAAAGGAAGCAAAGAAAGACGACAAAAAGGATGCAAAGAAAGACAACAACAATGAAAAAAGGATGCAAAGAAAGACAACAAAAAGGATGCAAAGAAAGACAACAACAATGAAGCAGAGAAGACAACAAAAAGGATGCAAAGAAAGACAACAAAAAGGATGCAAAGAAAGACAACAAAAAGGCAGCAAAGAAAGACAACAAAAAGGAAGCAAAGAAAGACAACAAAAAGGAAGACAACAAAAAGGAAGCAAAGAATGACACCAAAAAGGATGCAAAGAAAGACAACAAAAAGGATGCAAAGAAAGACGACAAAAAGGATGCAAAGAAAGACAACAACAATGAAGCAGAGAAGACAACAAAAAGGATGCAAAGAAAGACAACAAAAAGGATGCAAAGAAAGACAACAAAAGAAAGATAACAAAAAGGAAGCCAAGAAAAACAACAAAAAGGAAGCACGAAAGACAACAAAAAGGAAGACAACAAAAAAGAAGCAAAAGCAAAGAAAGACAACAAAAAGATGCAAAGAAAGACGACAAAAAGGATGCAAAGAAAGACAACAAAGAAAGACAACAAAAAGGATGCAAAGAAAGACAACAACAATGAAGCAGAGAAGACAACAAAAAGGATGCAAAGAAAGACAACAAAAAGGATGCAAAGAAAGACAACAAAAAGGCAGCAAAGAAAGACAACAAAAAGGAAGACAACAAAAAGGATGCAAAGAATGACACCAAAAAGGAAGCAAAGAATGACACCAAAAAGGATGCAAAGAAAGACAACAAAAAGGATGCAAAGAAAGACGACAAAAAGGAAGCAAAGAAAGACAACAACAATGAAGCAGAGAAGACAACAAAAAGGATGCAAAGAAAGACAACAAAAAGGATGCAAAGAAAGACAACAAAAGAAAGATAACAAAAAGGAAGCCAAGAAAAACAACAAAAAGGAAGAAAGGAAGGAAGGAAGGAAGGAAGGAAGGAAGGAAGCCAACCTCCACCCCTCCCAGTCCCCAGCCCCCCGCCGCTCCGGTTTGTGGCCCAGGGCAGCCAGTCTATTGGCCAGGAGGGCGCCGAGGACATGGGCCACTTTCCGCGGTTGACCTGGAAAACTGAGCGTCAGGAAAAACATAGGCCTGTAGGGAAAACATGAAGGGAACACCTATGGATTATCCACCGGAAGGGAAAACAAACATGCTTCGGCTCAGGCTTGCTCTTCACATACCCAAGATTATCCTAGACTTGAATGGCTGGCACAATCTTCTTCAGCGATTCATTCTGCTTGCAATGCACCACGCATCAGGCGGATCCGGAGCACGTGTCAACACCATGAAGAACCGACCAGTGGAAAATTTCATGGCGCGGTCGCTCCCGCAGCCCCCTCCCCCCACCACCTCTGACCCCACACCCCGCCAGCAGCTGGCCAATGCGCGCCAGCTGCGGGCAACTCATCTGCTGGCCGCCCCCGATGGAGATCTGCCCGTCCAGCCCGTCGTTCAGGAAGAGGCCTGCCGGCGGAGCGCACAGACAGGAGAACCGCTGCAAGATCCTCCCGTTTGGGGGTGAGATCGTTGCTTTCTCAAGCAGCTGGCCTACCCCAACCAACAAGCTTGTAGCTTCTTGCTGATTGCTACAGTAAGCGGTGAGGATGTGTTCTTTCCCTTGCCCGTGACGTCATGCGCTGTCTCACTCACACTTGCCAGCTCCTCTTGTGATCCACCGTGGCAATTCTCGTCATGATTGATCCCTTTGAGAGTCGGATACATTACATGAACGAGGCCTTTGTGATCAGATATGGCGCTTTGGTTTCATGTCAGCATTTTGTAACACAAGTCTCGGCCAAAAGCCAACCACTGCGGTTCCTTGCCTGTATAATCTTTGAACCTGTTCGTTTCATGGGCCTGCTCCATAGACAACTGGTGACCCTCAGTAAACTGAAAAAAAATGCAACGACCCACTGACTGAATGGGGACCCTATCGAAAACAAAAATGGAGAACTCCGTATGGTTTTGCGTAGCGTCCTTCAATACTAGGTTTTGCTCACAATCGGCAACGGTGACTTGTGCGACCTGGACCCCAAAAAAAGTGGCCCTTAACCTGTTTTGGCACGCGCGCTCGTTTTCTACGTGTGCAAAGCTGCGTGTGTATTTGCTGTGATTGATGCTTTCGCGCCATGCAGGGTCTCGCTTGGGTACTTCGCCCAAATGGCTCTGTAATGAACAATATACACACTCGAAGCCGGATGTCCCCCTTCCAAAAGTTGATCAACTCACTGGTAGTTCCAGCGAAACCGCAACTTCGGGGAGTTCCAAAAAGCTGGAGCTTGGGAAACTCCCTGAAACCCTTTGATGGTGTGTGTGTGTGCGCGCACGGCTTGTATAAAGATATATATGTAAATATACAAAAAATAACTTGCAAATGTTTCCTGGTTTGCAGAAACGGTTGAAGAAGGCATGATTGTGGGTGAGTACATATGGTATGTGGGTGCGCCTGAAGATGAAAACCTGCCCAAAGGCAGCACCACACAAAAGGGGGATCCACTCCAAAACCAGGGGATAACAAGCAGTCCAACAGAGACCAATCGTGGCCGACAAGGGTGCAACTGTGAATATCCTCCTCAAAAGTTGACGGACTTTTCGGCGTCTTCCAGCATAACCTGAGCCCTGGACACAATACTTGTTACAGAACATGAGAAATCGCGTCTGGGCTCGGAAAATTCGTGCGCCCATGGCCCATGTCTGCCCAACGCCAAGAAATAAAAAAGAAATCGCCGAACCGGACGGCTCGCTTGGCCGAAGCCGAAGCCGAAGCCGAAGCCGAAGTCGAAGTCGAAGCCTTCGGCCTGGGAGCCCCAGAGGCTCTGCAAAGGCCTCCTCTGCCCAGTCCACCGGGCTGGCCCAGTGCCCATTGGGGGGACGCGTCAGCGCGTGGATGAGGTGGCTCAGGTGCTGGATGTGCTCCCCGCTGTTGTACCTGAAAGGGGCCTTTCAAACGCCGATGTTTGACTAAGGGAGATGTAACGCTCTTTTACTCCTCAGCAATCCATCCGTGCTTTTGCAACTATTGCCATGGAAAAACTGCAGGGCTTGAAGGGGGCATGCCCATTGCGAGCACACGTTTTAGCTAAAAGACTCCAAGGTTCCGAGGTGCTCGAACTCCTTCCCGGGCGGCTTCGTGCCCAGGCCGCTGGTGTGGGTGAGCAGATGTCGCGCCGTGATCATGGGCCAGTACTCGTCCCCTGCGACTCGACTCGCCGGACCGGCAGTTTTCCGCTCGCATGTCCGCGCGACATGCTTAGAGGGAGGGGAGGAAGCAAAAGCAACGTGAGATAACTGAGACAGCTCACAGGCATCTTCCCAAACGTGTGGAAAGGAGACGCCTTCTGCAAAACCCCGCCTTTGCCCCAGTAGGCAGAGGGCGTCACATTGTACTGCCGCAGCGGCGTGTCCAAGTCCAACTTGCCTTGCCTGGGCTGCCGTTCTGTCCACGTGTCCCGGCTCTGGCAAATGCAGGTTTCAGCTTATGAATTGGTGGTGGTTAGCTCTGCGTTCAAAGCCATCTCAGGGTTCGCAAACTAAATGTACCGATTCACCAAGGCTCATGAGCTTCCCTAGTGGGATATGGAACTGCTGGAGATTAGTGGTTTCCTTTAAACAATCTCAAAGAGGGTACCCGAAAAGATGACACGACACGACAGTAGAACACAAGGCTCGCACTGGCAAAGCAAGAGCTTCCGCACAACTTCCCACGTTCTTGCTGAACAGTGCAAAGGTGTTGGCATTTGGCTGCACATGTTCGGGTGGATACAGGGAAGAAACACTGTAAGAAGTTGCAACATCTGGAACCCCCTGGCACCAAAGTCAGAAAAGAAAGTGAGAAAGCGCAAGCCGAGCTGAAACAGCCATGAGGCGTAACCAGCACCCCGATGAGCAGCGCGCTCACCGTCTTGGCGGCGCTGTCCAACTCGATCCTCTCCTCCGGCCCTGCGCCTGGCACGTAGTGCTCCTGAAGCTGCGGATTCCATGTGCTTCATGCTATCCCCATCGAGCAACTGAGACCAAGGCAGAACTTGAAGAGGGCTTCGATTCGAAAAAAACGTCTCGAGATTCGTTCTGAGTGGTTTGGGCTGGTTTAGGACTGCACAGTCAGGGCTAGTTTGGGACACACTGGCGTCGACGGCCCCAAAAAAAACAGCCCGAGGCGCGTAGACTAAGCGCCCTTCGTGCGCCACCAGAATGCAGCGCCGGCCAGGGAAGGTCTTGAACAAGTTCGCCGCGCCTGGCGCGTGGAAACGGAAAAGCCAATGCGTGCGAGAGTCGAAATGCGGCTAGCCAAACATGTGATCCCTTTGATTCTATCTTAACCGAGCACCATGCGATGCCAGCCCCATCACAAGTGAATGCCTCGCAAGATACCTTTTCTGACTATCATCAGCCTTGCCAGTGCCGCGCCTACGTCCAAGGGCTCGTGAGAGGTCCAGTCCTCAGTGGGAGCTCTGCATTGTGTCTGATTTCAAAGCGCATATATTGCGCTCTTGTTCGGTGCAGCCATTCGAGGAAATTCCGACTGGCTCTCATTGCACCCGAGCTTGACACTGCCCAATGTCGTTCGGACTCCGCACTGTGCCAAGACACCACCACACCCTTGGCCCACTCGCCCGCGCCAGGCCCGGCCATGGCCGATTCGATTGGCTCAAGCTCCGAGTTCGCAGGGACCCTAGGCGTTGTGTTTTTTCGTGTTTTTGTTGTTTTTTCCGGCTGCTAAAACTCGACTTTCGCAAACTTGTCTTTCGCAGCTTCCACTGCCTTTGTGCCTTTCCCTCAACTTGGAGCCTGAAATGCATGAGAACGCCTGTCTCTTCTGGGCACGCCGGCGCTCGGACCCGGTTGTGCCCGCTCGCCGGCTCAGATTTTGCAGTGAAGTAAAGGCTTCTCTGTACACAAGCCCCGTCCAAGTGAAAGGCACCAGGTCAACTCCCTGGTCCCCACGCTGTGCGACAAAAGTCCCGAAACTGACGGAACTGGTGCAAGCAGGCATGCGGCATAGCGGCAGGCCGTTCACCCGAAAAGCAGAAGCCCAGCCGTCACTCCGAGAACTTGAAAATCATTTGCTCGCTCGTGAAACCGGAACAGCTCAGGCGCCCGTGCCGCCTGCAGGCGCTCCTGCGAGTCTGAGACGGTCAAACGCACGGAACCTGTCGATATCGCATCTTCCACCACACTGAAACCAACCAAGGAATTCTCAAAAGGCGCGCTTTAATACCTACCACCTAATACATTGAAATACTCTTTTGGGCGGGGCAGGCAGCAAGCAGGGTCCGGCCCGTGAGCACGAACGCCCGTCTCAAACGCACTGTTGTCCCTCACCCTCACCAGCTGGCAAAGTATTGTGTGATTTCGACTTGGTTCAACGACTCCAACTGGACATTCCTTGGGGCAGTTGGCCCTAAATGTTGTTTGCTGCTGGACGCTCAATCGCAAAGCACCGCTTGAGCCGATCTCCCGCCTTCAATCTGCGAGCGGCGGGAGGCAGCCTACGCATTGGTGGAGTCACTGGAATGCGCCCGAAAGAGAACACGGAACTTTGCCCGACCTATAGTTGGTATGCCCCCAAATAGTTGGCTTGTGGACGTATAGTGACGGGCCTCAGCCTTGTTTGTATGAGTTGCTCCGGGTTGATCACCGACACAAGTGATCAACCTGTTGGCAGCAAATAACGCTTTGCGGTACATTGTTATATAGGACACTTCAAATCGATGGTAAATCCCGGGCTCCCCAAAGATAGAACATGGCCCAGCAATAGTGTTTACCGAGTATATAGTTTGATCATGAATCGTCCCAAATACTTTGTTTGTTTTTGATATGTCCCCAAACAATTGTCTTGGGGACGTATTGTGGCTGGTTTTGTGGTCGATAGTTCCCCAAGCAAACTCTTTGCATAATATTTGGGTCGATATATACATGATCAAACTACTTGACGGACGCACTTGCCGTGGCATATTCTATCTTTCAGAAGCCTGGAGTTTGTCCTGGATCTGAAGGGCGCTAGCGATGTACCACAGAGAGTCATTGGCTGCCAACATGGTGTAAGCTTTGTGTCGGTGTTCAACTCGAAGCAACACATATATAGCCGAGATGCCCATATTCTATCTTTGAGAACCCTGCCAACCGTGGTAGTTTGGCTAATGGGTTCACGTACGGACGTACGTTTTGAGTCGGACCCTCTGGTGCATGTTCTATCTTTGACACAACTGCATATTACCATTCAAAAATCATTTTTTAGAGACAAAATATAGGACATGTGTCAGATGTTCTATCTTAGAGGATACCAGTAGATGTTCTATCTTCCGAAAACCGTATTTTGGGAAAATGGTAGGTGTTCTATCTTTCGGAACCGGAGTATAGGGTCCGTCAGGGTCCGTCAGGGGTCCGTCACGGGTCCGCGCGGTCGCGCCGAAGTCGGCTCCGCCTCGGTGAGCTTGTCGAAGCCCTGCGCCGCCTTGGAGAGCCCGAAGGCCACGCCCGAGGCCACCTGAAGGCGAGAGCGTGACACCTCACACGGTGTGTCGCGAGGTCTCCCAAGAGCTGTTTGGTGAGGCTCTGCAAAAAATTATGGGCACACGAGTTGTCAGAACCAAGCCTTGGAGGTCACGTGGTGCTTCTCCTCAACCTCCTGTGCCTGGCCATGAAATCTTGAAACTGCAACCCGGCCAAGACCTGTCGCTTCCATCGGATGCATGTCAGCAACTCGCCTTGGCAACAGCTGCATGGAATCCGCTTGAAACCTGAGGCTGGGACAAGCAAAAGAGCACAGGGCTGCAATCAGAGGATGTATTGCAAGGCCATTGCTACAGGGCAGTCCTAGTGCCAGCGTGTTCAACTGATAGCCCCGGACCAGGTTGGACACTCCCCACATCAGAAAACTATGGTGTGACCTTTTAAGCGAACTATTCGCCTTGTCTGTGATGTGATACTGCTCATTGATGGTGCTGGCAGTAGTGATTGCCTGAAGCAATTGAATCTTGCACATAGCAAATTTGGCGGGTGATTGCTGAAAGCAATGCCCATGTTGCCGCGCGCCTTGCTGCCGGCTTGCATCACCTTGCCACTGATGTCGTGCTCCCTGTCCATCTCCCGAGCCTCGCTCAACGCAGTTGGAAGCACCGAGTGCCCCTGAGGGCCCCTGAGGGGTTGTGAGGAGGGGTTGTGAGGAGGGGCCCCTGAACAGCACCCAGCTGCTTTTTGTGCGAAGGTCTTTGTCCGCCTTGTCCACGCCCTTGATGGCCATGGAGCCCACACCCCGGGCCGCCTCACCCACCTAAGGCCAAAGGCGTCCCTATTTCGCTTGCCTGAGAATGTCACAGCAAGAGAGATCTGTCGGCTCAAGTCATAGCACGAGGCTCTGATTTGTGTCATGCAAAGCTAATGACGAAAATATGCCTGGGCTCACTAGTCCCCGTTCGGTCTAATACTACAATATCTAAATCTCACATACCTGCATACCTGACATGCTGGACTCAGCCGCCTCACGTGTTCCGAGCTGTCTTTTCCGTTTGCATGTATGAAAGTCTGGTACACAAATGGCGAATCAACCGCGATTGGAATTCTGGCATGTGATGGAAACGAAGATCATGTGGTCAGGCGTCCAATTCAAACAGTGCAGGAGCAGAAGAAAGGACAACTCTTGTTCACTCTCGATATGTGGCACTGTGGATTTGCAGTGTCCAACTGTTGGAGTTCGGCTAGCGGCTGAGGCAAGATCACTCAGGTGAATGCAGCTCAATGGCATGGGAAAGCTACAGTGAAATAACTCCCTCGCCTCTTTGAAGAACCATCCAAGATGCAAAAACAAGGCCTCGCCTGATCAGAGCGGGTGGCTGCCACACCGGCCTCAGTCACTGTGTAAAACGGCAAAGCGACTTGCGACGTCATAACTTGGCAGAAACCTGTCGCTACGCCCAGTGCTCCAAGTACATGGTAGTTGCACATAGGGTGTCCAAAATGTTTGATCAACTGCTTCCTCTCACAAAACAATATTTGTTTCTATATATATATATGTCGCCTCTCCTGGTTTAGGTATTCCCCAACAATTCCTCGCAAAGCCAGAGGCTTTGGGTCAAGCACTTTTTCAGGTCTGTGCGAAGGTGTGCCGACCTTTTCAAATTGGCTTGCCCGACGAAAATAAGGAGTTCCCAGTGCCCCAGGCTTTCCCGAATGGAGCACGAACCTTGCTCCGAAGTGCTTTGACACATTTCCAAAATGGAGAAAGCATTGGGAAGGACATGCCCCACTTCATTTGCGTGAATGCACTCAGAACAGGGGCTCTGCAGAGCCGGGTCCAGTCATGAATGGCGCGCCAGCCAGACACAAAATGTGCTACAAGCAGCAGTGATGGTTCCTTGCCTACAAGCCATGTCTGCTGAACATCACACATGAACGTGTCTTTCGCAGACCTTTGTTCTTGAGATTGCGCCACCCGGCAGGGAGTTTTCCGTTGGCCAAGCAGGACCTGTGTGTGTGTGTGTTGAACCCAAATGTGTAACGGTTACTTCTGGAGCTCATGTGCCATGACTCGTCACCTTGTTGGTCAGGCATGTCTGATGCCGACACCCAATGATTCAGGGGCTCTAGAATCAAAGCAAAGAAGTCAGCAGGGCACGCGGAAGCCCCGCCCCAAGGCTGCCGGACCGCGGCAGCGCCACCGACTGCACCTCCGATCCAAGCCAACACCCAAGACGAAGTTTCAATTCTCGCAGGGCCTCAAACAAACCTTCGCTTTGGGCCCATGCCCGGAGACAAACGAAACACGGCCAGCCGACTCGCCAGCGCCTATGACCCCGAGACCCAGCGTGCCGCCCAGGACCTCAAGGTACAAACAAGCTGGTGAGAGAAAGCACTAACTCATTCGGGTTGCCAAGGAGAAAGACCCGAAGACAGCAAAGGTGTTGAATCTTGATTCTTACACAGGCAAGTTTTGGGGGTTCCTATCATTGGCTTCCCAGCGATGGCACCACCCACAGCGCCCACAGCGGCGACGGCGCCCATCTGCTTCAGACCACCTTGCGCCACACTGAAACTGAAAGCAGGAATAGGGGATTGTATTTGGCTTGGACAAGGCACAAGATTGCACCTGACTAGGCATCTACTCTGAAGGAACATCAAGCACTAGGTCGTTCTTGCGACGAGAAACGAATTTTGCTTGCCTCATGACGGACTTGCGCTTTGCGAGTGCCAGTTGAAACATCCTGCGATGGCTGTGAGGCCAGCCGCGGAAAATGGCCATCGATCCCTTCCGCCGCGCCTGCCGCGGTGGCGGCCTGGCTTGCCGCCGTGGTGGCCTCACGGCGAAGTTGTCCCGTCCGAGCGAGATCCAGCTCCGACCTAGGCCTCCCCGGACCCCTGCCTGCATAGCCAGCTGCACAGCATGAATCCTCTCGAGCCCCCGAGCCACACAAGAGGAGACACACAGAAGTAAAGGTCTGCAACAGGGCAAAGGCCTCTTGCAAGGGACCTGAAAGATGTGTTTGCATGAGATGACAAATTAGGCGGACGAGCTGAATGTTCATACCCTCTCACATACAAAAAAAGAAAGGAAAAAAAAGAAGAAGAAAAAAAAAGAAGAAGAAGAAAAACGGACCGTGTGTATCACTTTATGAGAATCTGGGAATCCTGCATGAACTCTTGGTTGCTAAGAACAGGCTTTTCATTTCAGCAGGCCAATTGCCGTTTCAAGCATGCTCGCACATCAGTTAGGCTCGGAAGCCTAACACCGGATTTGCCCCAACATCGGTGCTGGCTGAGCTGCGGGCTGGTCCTCCACCTTTGGATTGCGGCTCGCACGTGCGACAGGCCAACGTGTGAGTTCTTCGAAAGGTGGGACGCGCTAAAAGACTTTGCAGGTCATAGGAAACATGAAACTTGCACCTCCCACTCTCTGGGTAGAAGCTTCAACATGTCCAGCTCCACACAAGCAGTTGCAAACGCTTTCCCTTGTTAACCAAATGGAAACCTCGAAACTTGCCAAGCCAGAGACCTTCCGGACATTTAAATTGCAAACTAGTCTCAACCGAAGCGGCAACGGATAAGAGAAAGTCAGCGATCGAAACCGTGCCCTGAGCTTCCACGCGGGCACTTTCGGCGCACCAGACTTGAGATGCTGAATCCGGGTCAGGATCTCAGACCAAGTCACACGGCCAAGCGTTGATGCCCTCACATCGGAAATCTTGGAAACACTGCTTAGGTCAGCGATTCCCAGAAGAATCTCCATCTCATTGAGCTGCGGCAAGCATCGCCCGCATTCCTTGGCCTTCCCTCGCCTTCCCCGCCTCCTGCCGGTGCTGCACCAAGCGCGGCCGGTCCTCAGCGTGGTGCGGCAGCGAGTGGTCGATCGCCTGCTGCAGCAGCGCCTGGCCTTGCGTCGCAACTGAGCACTGACGTCCCGCCCTGAAAAGCACGCGAAGTCAAATATGCCCACACTTTGACACGGCCTCGCCTCCCCAGGCAGCTTTACAAGCAAAAACATGGAGCAGATGCAGTTGCAAGACACGGAAGGCTCAGAGTTGAGCCTTCGGAGTACTCTGAGGCCGCAACTTTCCTCATACTTTGCGATTGCAGCCCTGGAATCCTTGGCATGAGGAACTTCTGAAGTGCAGGCAAATCGCTGGGACCCTCGGTCCCAAGCGAAACAAGCTGCACATGGCACTTTGCGGGCTTTTGCTCAAATCATGATATTTTGCTGTGCCCACAATTCCCAAGGATGAGCTTGGTGGCAATTCGGACTTACGAAGAAACAAAGAAGGCGGTGGCTTGCTGTGAGCCCCTCTGATCGACTCCGCGCCCAGAAGCTGTTGCGACACGCGCGTGTTTGCCATATCGCGGAAGGAAGCCACACCCTTGACCGAAACAAAGGACTCGATCGTCCAACAAGGCTCATGCGTTCAGAAGAGTGCACTCAAGCGAACAGGATTCTATCCGAGACTTGTCTAAAGCTCAAGCCGCACTTGCTACATGCAATCCGTCCGGGTTCACACCGAGCGGCGTGCTTCTGATCCAGTTCCTTGGCCTCGTTCTCGAGCACGCACGCACTCATCACGAAGTTCTTGCAGTCCTTGCAACGCACGACACGATGAACATGCTTCCCGTAGGCCCCCCCCCCCCCTCCTCAGCCATGGCCTTGGTATGAGGTGTCAATTTGGAAAGCAAAGCCCGCGCTGTCTAAATCAGGCATTGCTGGTTAGACCGCTTGCAGGTACAGGTGTCTTGCCTGCACCTCAGCCACCCTTTTCAAGCCCCCGGCCTGAACGCTTGGCACAGACTGACACAGCCGCGCAGCCGATAGGGCACTCTAACTGACAAAGACCGTGTGAAGGAAGGACCGTGCGAAATCAATCGATCATGGGCGGTCATACACCCCAATTCTGACAGGTGCTGAAACAAAGGTACGTTCATGTTCCCAACTGGCTTTTCACAGCGCAGCTGAGGCCGGGCAACAGGCATGCACAAACGACATGTTTCTTGCAGCGTGCCTCTTGCCATCAGAATGCGTATGGAGAGAGCTTGGGAAACTTGATAAAGATTTGAGCTGAGTTGTTTTCCCGAAAAAAATGTGAGTACACGAATCCTAGTTGCGGGCTCGATGCACTTGCAACAAAAAACTACGTAACAAAAATCCGAGAGCACGTTGTTCATTTCATAGTTGCCTATTCTTATTGCAGGAAAACCCAGGCCATTGGTCAGTGGAAACAAGGCTTCCCGTTCGCCGTTTTAAAAGTGAGCCGGGCAAATAACAGGGGATATCCGTTCGCTGTTTTTGCCCACTGGTTCAATTCCGGGGTTCCAGCCACAAAAAAAAAAAAACAGCAAGCCAAAATGACCATGATCAACAGGGATCCTTACATTATACACCTGAACATTGCCCTGGTGGTTTCCCTGTATTTTGATTAATTTAAAAAAAAAAAAAAAAAAAAAAAAAAAAAAAAAAAAAAAAAAAACATGTTTCAAATGGGCAAAATGTATTTTTGGAGCCCTGATCAAAACATAAAAAGGAATCACCACGCGATACTGTTGCGGAAAAGGTCCCCTTCAAGCAGCCGATCAAACCGCGAAATTCCTGGACCAAACCGCGCAGCGCGAAAGAAATGGAGCGTGCGGTTGCTGGAGTGGTTTGCACATGGTTTCTGGAAGAAACTTCACACGCCAAAAAAAAGAAAAGGCTGACCTGACCCGCCAACCCAGTCTCTGCATGCGGAAAGTGTCCTACAACGTTTTTCCCTCACATGTCCACAGCCGGGTCGGTGGAATTGCTTGCGCTCTGGTGACCACCACATGCTCTGGCAACCATAAATGGAAACAAAACCAACAAACAAGAGGAACCTGCAAAACAAAACGACAGACCAAACCCTCCGCAAAACACCTCCAAAAGTCATACACGGAAGCAACTAAGCTTGTAGAGCAAATTACAAAGCATGCCAGCACCACTAACAGGAGATTCCTGGGTGCATTCGCAAACACAAAACTAACACAAACCAACACAAACAAAAGAGCCACAAAACTTGAAAACATCGGCAAATGAGGGATGCTTTGAGCAACCCAACATCATGACAAAGTCGAGCAAGAAACGTCTTGACAATAGCGAACAATCAAAGCAACAAATGTTCCATGCAGAGAGCGAGAGAGCGAGAGAGCGAGAGCCAGAGCCAGAGCCAGAGCGAGGGGATTCTCCAAACGGGTTTTGATGCAGCTGAGAGGCTTCTGACACTCGTCCGTCCAGAAAACGATCCGAAAGCTAAACCCCTCGATATGCTTGCAATTGCCCCGTAGCTGCGTTTCTGCAAGGCAGGCTAAAAAAACCAGGGAAAAAAGAACAAAAAGGGTTCCGGCACAAAGGGTTCCAAAAAAATGGTTTCCTTTGAGGGCGAGCCTGCCTTGCAGAAACGCAGCTAGTGCAGGCACGGGGCTCTCTGCAGCACTTTAGCTTTCGGATCCTTCGCAGAACGAGTTCTTTTCCTGGACGGACGAGTGTCACACGGTTTTGAGCTTTGTCAAAACCCGTTTGGAGAATCCCATCTAAAGAAAGAGGTTGCGTTTTTCAATATTGATCCATGGTTGTCTTTCCTTGATTCAAGATGACTCAATGGTTCCCCCACCCGAGGTCAGAATTCCGACTTCGCTCTCCCACCCGAGGTCGGAATTCCGACTTTGCTCTCCCACCCAAGGTCGAAAAATCCAACGTCGCTCCAAGATTCCGACCTCGCCCAAAAAAGCCATCGCCGGGCCACAGGCGTGCGACACGCGTGCCATATGCGTGCCATACGCGTGCCATATGCGTGCCCGTATGCGCGCCATATGCGTGCAATATGCGTGCCATATGCGTGCCATACGCGTGCAAAAGCCATCGCCGGGCCATCGCCGGGCCATCGAGCCATCGCTGTGCGCCAAATGCGCGCCCAACGCGCGCCGCACCCTTGCCGAACGCGCGCGGGAGATACACGGCCAGCACCGTATGTCTCCCGCAACAGGAAAATAGCACAAAAGGACACGTTTTTGCCCGAGGTCGGAATTCCGACCTTTCTCCAAGATTCCGACTTTGCAAAAACATGTGTTAGTTAATAGGTCCAAAGTGGTACGACGGGCCGCAACGGCCTAACATGACACGGGCGGTCGAAGCGGCGACGGACGACGCCGGCTGGCGGCAGCAAGACGGCAGATCGACGACAAGCCGACGACGGAGCGACGACGGGGCGACGACGGGGCGACGACGGAGACGGAGCGGCGACGGACTGACGACGGACCAACGACGGACCGATTGTGGGGGACGACAAGGCGAAGGCCAAAAAAAAGGTCTAGTTTAAGGTCTGGTTAGTTTGGTTCATTTCAAGGTTGGGTGGCCATTTGTTACACTGCGCCGTATGAAGAGTTTATCAGCGGCTGGCCAAGCCCAGATTTGGGATTTGGGGAGGCTTTGCCAAACAAAAACTTCAGCCAGAATATGCGTGAGACAATTGTGAGACACATGAAGAAGTGTCTCACATGTGTCTCAGACCTGTCTCAGACATCACAAGAAAGCCAGCTGAAAGTTGAGACAGGTGAAACAGAGTTGACAGCTTTCTGGTGCTTCTCATTGCCGAATTTTTCCTTCCCAGCTTAGCATTGCGGAGGGGCTGGAGCAGCATCGCGGCTTGCTCACTGCAGGAGTAGTAAGGATATAGTAACCAATTAATTTTCGTTTTTGGCCCGAAAAACCCTCCAAAGCAGCCAAATTTCGCATCCTGCTGAACGTTTTTCCTATGTCACCGTTCGATGTCACCGCTCCCTTTTGGGCCGAAAAAGTGCTCAAAACTGCCAACTTCCCGAATTCCCGAAAGCCGAAAACAGGCTCCAGACGCGTACGCTGCTCTCGATTTCCGTTTTCGGCCCGAAAAAGCTGCCAAGATCCATCCCGCCAAGCTTGTCACCGTTTGTCAACGTGGGCTGCGACCAGCTGCTGCGCAACGACGTGAACTGCACGGACGTGTTCACGACGGGTGTGGGCGCCTCGGGCGCAATCTCCTGCGCAGCTCGCGGCCACCGGCACCGTCGCCGGAGCCGCGCTGACGTCCACCGGCGCCGTCTCGGGCAGCTCGCTGAGCATCACGGGGGCGGCCAGCGTGCTGAGCTCGGCCACCGGAATCACCGGCAGCACCCTCACCATCAACAACACGGCCAACGCGGGAACTTCACCACGGTCGGCGACGTGTCCACGGGCACCCTGACGGCCTCCGGACGCCACGGGCGCCGCGCTGACGATCGCCGGGGCGGCCTCCGTGGGCCCGCTGGACTGCGAGAGCCTGGACTGAACCTTCACGGCCACGAGCGGCGGGCAGCGTGGTCTGCGGCAACGTGACGAGCTCGGGCACGGTCTCCACCCCGCAGCTCTTCGCGTCCAACACGCTCACCGTGACCAACACCTCCGACTTCTCGGACGATCTCTTTTTGACGAAGAACTGGGCGGGCTGGAGAAAGGTGCAGATTTCCAACGACAGCGCGGCCTCCGACAGCGGCCCGGAGCTGCGGCTGCTGGGCAACCATGCGAGCTCATCATGATCAACGACGAGGCGCTGGGCAGACGAAGAGCCTCTCGACGCAGCTGTCCCTCACCACGAACCAGAGGAAATCCGGCTGCTTGGCGATCGCCGGCAGCACGGGCAACGTGGTCTGCAACACGAGCTTCACCAACTTGTCTAAGCTAATTTGTTTACGTTTTTTCCCGAAAAACCCTCCAAAACAGCCAAATTCTCCATCCGGCTGAACGTTTTTCCGATGTCACCGGTCGATGTCACCGCTCCCTTTTGGGCCGAAAAAATGCTTAAAACGGCCAACTTCCCGAATTCCCGAAAAGCTCGTTTTTTCCTGTCAGACGGAAATCACGCACACAAACTACACACACAGAACGCACGCACACAAAACGCATGCAACATGCACAACATGTGCCTGGAATGCTTCAGACGCGCGCAGGGATTATTCCACAACGCTTGCAAGATCGTGCGAAACGCATGCAACATATCTACACCACGAAATTCACACCAATTGCATGTGCAATGCATACGCAAGCATACAACATGCGTTCAACGCGCAAGCAAGCCTGAACAAATATGCGTGCACTCAAGCACAAATGGCACGCATACAAAACGTACACAACATGGCACTTGTACAAGTCAATCCCACAGACGAAACGCACACAACGCTCCTACAACACGCAAGCAACATGCGTACAGTATGCAAATCCAATGCGCACCCAATGCGCACACAAATGCATGCAACACGCATACAACACACATGCAACACAACATGCATACAGGGCGCATACAACACGCATACGGCGCGCACCGCGTACAAGAAGCCTGCGTACAAGACGCACGCAGGATGCGTGCAACACGCATACAAGACACATACAAAATACACACAAGACATACAAGATGCTTTAACATGCGTAAACCGCGCGAAACGCACAAGTTGCGCGCTACGCGCTATGCGTGCAAGAAACACACGACGCACGCAACATGCGTACAACATGCGTACCTCTACTGCAAAACACACAAAATGCAAAGAAACGTATACGACGTTTATGAAATTCAAATTGGACTTGCCAGGTAAGTACTCACTCAAACAATACACATGTTACCTGCTGGCCTTAGAGCGTAGGAGAGTGCTCTAGCAGGCTTTGTGCATCGAACTCGTAGAACTCCAGCGTTGGACAATTGCCCCTTAAACATTGAGTAGCGATGGTTTCGGCCCAAACTGCACTTAGGAAGTTCCAAAATCGGATATAGGTTGGTTCACGTGTTGTGAGCATGTCGTAGGAATTGCATTTGATTTGTGTGTCGCGCTG